GACTTCTAAGAGAACAAACACATTCATCCTGGAGAGGGTGAAACCAGGCTGCATTTCAGAGGCAAGTATTCTGAAGCTACACCTGACAAGTTTTCAGGATGTTGCAAAGAGGGGCCAGTCCTTGAAGAGGGATATGATGCTTGGGAGGGTGGAGAGACAGAGCAATAGAGGAAGATCTTTGATGACATAGATTGACTCAGTGACTGGGGTAACAGATGTAGGTGTTTCAAAGACAATAGGTTTGGCTCAAGATAGAGCAGGTTGCAGAACTGTTATTCATAGTGTCACTATGAGTTGCAGGTAACTTGGCTGCACATAACAACAATAATGGGTATTTAGTAGCCAGTAAACTAAATAAAGATGAATTTACTTGTGCTTACAAATGAAACTAGAGTGCTCAGTTTTATGTAATATTGTTGCTGAACTCAAGGGGTTCTTTCTGTAGTCAATTGCCAATAAGACAGAGCCTCCTCATCTGGGAGTGGTCATTAGACTTTTACACCAGGGTTAGACACCAACTCACTCAACAATGCACCTATGTTAGTTAAATCAAAGATTTTCTACATCTGAAAAAAAATACAAAAAAAAACCCCAACAATTCACACACAGGTACCAGCACACAGGCAATTTACAAAATAGTCAACACATGACTAAGAAAAATAGACACTGAAAAGATAAAGGCTAACTCAGGAAAGGTGTAACAGGTGTAACTCCCCTCCTGGCAAACAGGCAGATTAATATACAATTTGCATATGATTGGGGGAAAGTTTCAAATATGCTGATCTAGGAAAGATGCATTTCATTTCCTGGAAAACAGACAACTTAAACTATTTTACATTGGCTACAACTTGACAGCACTTAACAACAACAACAGCATAACAAAAGATAAGTTATCCTAGTGGACAGAAAGTGATGCTACCAAGCCAAAGGTGGGTGACTTTAATCCACAGCCCTCAGGCCTGTTTCAAACATCCTTCTCAGTCGTATAGCCCTGGTATGTCCATTTGCTGTACAGAGGTAACTCGTGTTTGTTGTGATGCTAAGCACTGTGAAACTGATGTGTCAAATGTGATAACGGTTACCCATGGTGGACAGTGTTTGGTGGAGCTCCCCAATTAAAACAAGGTTGGTAGCAGGAGCAGCATCAACTTCTGAAATAGCTTGCCTCCAGAAACCCTATGAATCTGGAGAAAGGATAAATGTTATACAAGTGTTCAGGTCTTTTGTTCATAGGGTCACTATGAGTCATCTATGACTCCAAGGCACTAGACAACAACAAATAAAAGGAAACAAAAAAAATTCTAAGGCAAAGTACTCAGTTTGGCAGGCTGGAGAAAACTGATGTCAGTTTTATAACTATGTAACTAGAGTTTTAAAACAGATACGTATTTAGAGAATTCTGAATTTATTAATACCACCCCATCAAAATTGGGAAATTTACCAGCATATGAAAACTGCAAATTACAGATTAATATGTAAGCATAAGTAAAACAGAGCTGACTTCACTTATTGTGTAATGTTATCTCACCACTAATAGTAAGTTAGAGTCCATTAAAATAGTTGAGAAACTTGAAAATAAGGAGATGAGCACAATCTTCCTAAGTGCTCAGTGAGGGGACAGTATAAATCCCATTTAAAAAAAAAAACAAAACACACCATTAATCCCAGAAGCAGAAGCAGGCCATAAAAATTCTTAGCTTAGGAAAGGTAAAGCAAACACAAATGTGCCATGTAAAGTCTTATCTGTCCTTGCAAAGTAAAGAATTAGCTAGTGTCTATGTGACACAAAAAGAGTAAAGGTGGGCAAAGTAGGCAGCCTATCAAAAGCTGACTCACATGATTAATCCCCTGGCCCACTAATCATGCTCCCAATCTCCCCACCTTGGACAGAAGCACCCAGGAAGGCCTTAAAAACAATTGTGTGGGGGACTCAGGACTCTCTCTCTCTCTTACATCTTTCCACTGAGGGAGGGAGCCCCACATGTGGAAAATTATTAAAGTGTGCTTTTTGTTTTTACATGTGTGAAGAGCTCATTTCGGGTAGAGCTTTCTTGGGCACAACACTCAGTAATCAATATTCTGATGGAATGTTATCAAAATTGTGGTCTCCCAGGAAATTCTATTTTCATAATTATTTTCCAAGTGTTTAAGGCTTCACAATAGTACACACAGCATCTGTAAGGTCACCGAGGAAGGACAGAACGCTATGCCAGCAAGGAAAGATAGCTTATTGAAGAAAAACTGCTGGGCTGGCTCCCAAGCAGAAGACCAGCCCCCACTAAGAGTTAGAGAGGGATTTTATACTTTCTTACAGGGGAACTGGGGAAGGGGGTGGATACAGATGCTTCCTTCAAATAGGGAAGTGGGCTATAACTATTCCTGGGAAAATGGAGGTAGTGTAGTTTCACAGAAAGAAAAAGCGCAACTGCTGTTTCCTGTTATTGGATTCTCTTAACAGCCATTCTGGGAGAGGAAAAAGAGGGCTCTGCAGTTCTAATAGCATCAACTGACTTGAATCATCAATTGTTTTTCTGAAAGAAAACATGCAGCTGTTAACAAATACATAGGTGTTGTGAAATTTTCACAGTTTACAATATTTCTCCATTAAGAGATATCTATGCCATGAGTAACAGTAATAATAGCCTCTGATTCACCCAAAAGCCCTTAAAAAAGTCAAAACAACTATGTCTACACCAACACAGTATCAGAGTAGTATAAACCCAGAACCCAAAGACAGAGTTGGCAAAGCCTGGCTATACATTTCAGTCCCAATTCTATGGCTCACAACCTAATCTGCCTTTCTGTGGTCTGTATTTTAATGTATTTTTATTATATCGCTAGCTATTCTAATTTCTATTTCCCTGCATATTCTGTAATAATAGGAAACCTAATCTTTAATTTTTACGAGGAAAAGAAATCTTCCTTTTTTTTTCTTTGTCACTGGACTGTGAATGGGCGTAACTTAATTTAAACATACATTGTAGATCATTTTCTTAATATCATGCTGAGAATGAGCCCAAAGATTTATTTCAATCAATCATAAAGATTTGAGTTTTGACATACATGTAACATACCCAGTAAGTTTATTTGTATCATAGTTTATAGTATTGTACATTCTCAGTAGAGCTCAATTTTTTTAAAACCCCATTTTGCTGCAAACCCAGTGACCAATAATTTTACTAAAATTTGTTTAAAAGATCCTGATCTATCAACATTATAGATTCAAGTAAATTTCTCTATTACATTTATTACCAATTTTCAGAAATGAAAACTCAAAGATTAGAATGATGCCAGCAAACATTGTTGTTGTTAGGTACCACTGAGTTAAGTACAACTCATAGCAATCCTATGAACAAAAGATCTGAACCCTGTTCTATCCTGTACAATCCTCACACTTCCTCACACACAAGAGCCCTTTGCTGCAGTCACCATGTCTACTCATCTAGGTGAGGCTCTTCCTCTCTTTCCCAGCCCTCTACCCTTCACAATATCATGTCCTTCTCCAAGGAATGGCCCCTCCTAGCAACATGCCCAAAGTATGTGAAGCGAAGTCTCATCATTCTTGCCTCCAAAGAGCACTCAGGCTGCATCCTCTACAAGACCTATCTGTTCTTTTGGCCATAGCTTCAAGCTGTGGGCTGGAATCCTCTTGTTTAAGCATTCAAGACCTGGCAGAGCAGGCCTTTGTATTTAAAAGTTGCTTAAGTCCTGCCTGAGGGCGAATCTCCAGCTTGGAGCAGTTGAATTCTGGATGTTAAGTGGGGTGTCTTTTTAATTTGCAAAGCTGGGTCTGGTTCAAGAAGACTGACACTGAGGAGCTGCTCACGAACAGCTCCCAGAACAAGGTTCTGGCGACCTCCTCGGAAACGCTGACCGAGCGGCACATCAGCAACCCGGACCTGGAGAAGGACCTGGGCCTGTACGTGTGTAACGGCACCAGCTCCCCAGGCACTCACCAGGCCTCTATCACCCTGCGTGTGTGCAGCTGCCTGGCCGCTCTCTGGCCGTTGCTGCGCATCCTGGCTGAGGTCCTCATGCTGGTCACCATCATGTTTGTCTATGAAAAGCGATGGAAGCCGGAGGAGGTGTTGGATGACGAAGACATGGGCTCTGCGCCACTAAAAAGTGGGAGTCACCATGTCAACGACAAGGAAAAGAACGTCCTCCAGAGACATACCAACTGAGCACTGGCTACCTCCCAGGACAAAGGAGGAGCAGCGCCTTGTCACAGTCCTGCCTCCCCAGCACCCATCCCAGCGTATGCACCTCTGGGGCGCCTGAGAAACATGCCTGGGCGAGCTGCCTCAGAGCCGGGGTCTTGTTCCAGTTCCTCCCCTTCCAGCCAAACTTGGCTTTCCCGCCTTCAGAGTTGCACTCAGTCCAGCCTCTCATGGGGTCTTGTTTTCTTTCATTTCTTGTGAACCCCAGGGAATCTGTGAGGTCCAGGCTACCTGTCAACCTCCTCTGAGGGCCTAAACTGCCCCTCCCACTGGTGCCCAGTCTGCTGTGCAGACCCAGCCATGCGTGCTGTCCAGTCTGAAGCCCTAGCTGTCCACTCTGTGCTTTGCTGTTCCCAGGTGTCCATGGGTGCTGCGTGGGCTTGGGGGCTGAGTACCCCCACACTCCCAGGACCCTGATGTGCCATCTCAGTCCTCCAAGCCCGGGCTGCCTGGACAACTGGTGGGGGCCTCCCCCACCTGACCACAACTCAGCCCCTACCACCGTCACCCCACTAATAAAGACTCCCTCCACCTTATCTCAAAAAAAATCTTTATTTTATGTTGGTTTGCATAAAGGATTCATATTCATTGTGTTTCATTCACATACATTGTGTTTCATACATTTCTTCATTCACATTGTGTTTTATACAATCACTCCCATACACACATTGTGTCTTATAAAATTATTCACCATTGATCTATGCCCACTATTACCCCTTATTTTCAGAATCCCACTGCATCTTTCCTAATTCCTTGTTTAATCTCTTTATATCTCAAGAGAGTGACTCAATATCCCCCCTACACTAATTATTTCTCATTATCATAAAAAAGATAATTCATTCCCAAGAGGGTTATAACCCCAGGCTGAAGGTTAGGATTCACAACACATATTTGAGGACGTGATTGAATTAAAAACATAGATCCAAGGCAAAATGGGTATTTGAATGTCAAATGAAGATGCACTACAGAAATTCTAACCACTTTTATATGGCAAACAATAATTCTATTTCAGGAACAATTTCTGCTACATTCAAATAATTTTCTTAATTTGGTCTCATCCAGTCTCATGGCATTAAGTACAATTTTTCTCTTGTGTGATATAACCCGCTGGAGAGTCAAATAGGAGTTGGTTTTTATGCAATGACATTAAGTTGTGTAGATTGATAGATCATTTTTGAGAATTACTTTGTTGGGTCCCCCCACCCATTTTTAATAGGCTGATATCTCCAAAATTGTGACAGACTGAGATTCAAACTCATCAATTTCCCTGTGTCCCTAAGGGAGAAAATATCTGATATTTTATGCCATTAGGGCTCATTCTCATTTTCTCTCTCTCTCTCTCTCCCTCTTTCTCTCTCTCTCTTTTACACACACACACACACACACACACACACACACACACACTATTCTATCTCTTGCTTCTCCTGACCCTCATATTTAGCTCTCTGACTTTATATTCTGTTATTCCTCCTCTCAGTCACTATGCTCTTGTGTCCATCTGCACTGACTTCTCTGTGGTCATCAACAAAGTCAAGCACTCTCCTGCCTCAATGCTCATCATTCCCTCTGCTACTTTCCTCATACGCTTTAAATCTCAGAGACAGATTCTCTGGTTTGGTAAATCTCCACCACTCACACCTTTGTCTCAAATTCAGTTGTGTGTAGTTTTTTTCTCCCCTAAACTATGACTTAAAACATATTCTACCATTTTCTGTGTTTCTTGTCTATCTCCCTTGACCTCAGGCATAGATTTCTTTTTTTCTTTCATTCCTGTATGTTCAGTGTCTAATAACATATCTAGCATGCTGAAATTGCTAAATAATAATATCACATTTTCATTTTTTTAAAATGAAGCTTCTAATTACACATTAGCATGCTCTTAATAATACATTTCCAGAATTCATTCAACAAATATTTGTTAAACTTTCAAACCAGGAGGGGGCAGCAATGTCTCATAAACTGAACAAGAAGTCTCCATACTGGTTCAGTAATTCAGGGGGGCAACTAATGGAAAATGAGGCAAAATATACGAGTTGAAGGGGCTAATGCCATACACTGGTGATGAACGTGCCCTCACCAAGAAGAATGCAAGAAGTCAAGGAGAGTCCTGGAGCATGACAGCCAGAGTAAGAAGTCCATGGAATAAGCAGACAGCTTCTCAGGGAGCCTAATAAATTGCCAGGGAGCTCTAGGGGCCTACTTCTTAGGGAGTTGTGGTAGCAACTCTAAGTCCTCACCTCTCTGGTAGTTTGAATACAGTAGTGGCTCTGAGGGAAAGCCTGGTAAAGGGAGCTCTGGTGTATTCAAATTCTGTGCCTTCTGTTTGATAGTATAGTGCCTTTACTTTGGCTATCATGAAAACAAACTTACCAGAACTAAAATATGACCTTGAGTCTATCCCACTTGAATTTTAAACCCATCTCAAGAACAGATTTGAGGCTTGAACATGAATGAAGACCAAAGAGCTGTAGGATGATATCAAGAATATTATCCATGAAGAATGTAAAAGGTCGTTCCAAAGACAAAGGAGGAAGAAAAGACCAAGATGGATATCAAAGACTGTTAATATTAGACCAGCACACTGAGAGCCAAAGCAAAGGCAAGAATTCGGGAAGTTAAGGAGCTGAACACAGTATTTCAAAGGGCAGCTCAAGAAGACAAAGCAAAGTATTACAAGGACATGTGCAAAGAGCTGGAGTTAGAAAATCAAATAGGGCAAACTCATTTAACACTTCTTTCTTTTCCCCCCCCCACCCCTGCTTAGTTTGAAAGAACTGAAGAACAAATTCAAGACCTAAATGACAATTCTTAAGGATGCTATGGGCAGATTATTGGGTGATCCAGGACGCATTAAAAAAAAAAAAGATGAAAGGTGTATACAGAATCACTGTACCAAAAAGAATTAACTGACACAGAAAAGTTAATGAAACAGCATACAATCAAGAAGTAATGGAAGTGATGGAGGAAGTTTAAGTGCTTTGAAGGAATTGGTAAAAAAATAAAGCCCCAAGATTTCATGGAATAATTAACTTATTTCAACAAACAGATTCAGTCATGGACATGTTCACTAGGCTGTGCCGAGAAATCTGGAGGACAACCACCTGGCTAGAAGAAATATGTATTTATACCCTTTCCCAAAAAGGCAATACAACAGAGTGTGAAAATTATTGAACAATATCATTAATATCATAAGCAAGCAAAATATTGCTGAAGATTACCCAAAACCAACTAGTGAATTTACAAAACTACCAGAAAAACAAGCTGGATTTAAAAGAGGCCATTGCCCTAGGGACATCATAGCCAGTGCCAGATAGATTTTAGCTGAAAGTAGAGGGCTCCATAACAATGTCTGTCTATTTGTGTTTTATTGGCTATGTAAAGGCATTTGAATGTGTGGACCTCAACAAATTGTGGCTAACGTTGAGAAAAATTATAATCCCAAAACAGTTGATTGCGACCATGTGAAACTTGTACTTAAGACCAAGAAATAGTTGTCAGGACAGAGCAAAGAAACACTGCATGGTTCAAAATCAAGAAAGGACTGCATCAGGGATGTTTCCTTTCTCCATAATTTTTCAATCTATGTGTGGAACAGGTTATTCAGGAGGCTGGACTTTATGAAGAAGTCTTTGGTATCAGGATTAGAGGAAAACTCATAAACAACTTGCACTTTACAGATGATACAAACTTGCTCACCCAAACTGATGAAGTGTTTGTTGCGAAAGATCAAGGATTACAGTCCTGTATGGATTGCCTCTCCAACATTAAGAAACAAAGACTCTCACCATTGGGCTGGGCCAATTGACAGCACCATGATAGATGGAGAAGAGAATGAGATTATCAACAATTTCAGGTTGCTCAGATACACAATCAACACTCTTGGCAT